GATTTGATTGGACTTGAAAGTTAAGCGATTGAGGGATAAAATTTATAGTTGCTTCGCGTAGTTTCTACGTGGAGTGACCCTGGACTAAGTGGTGAATAAGTATGAGGGACTAAGTGAAGCTATGAATTGCGAATGCTATAGGCCTTAAATCTTTCTAATGGTATCTGAGGACCATAGATAGGTATGTCAGGTAGGAATTCCGATTGTAGATAGTTTACTCTTGGGACTGCAGCTCGAGATGTGAATTATCTTATTTCGGATTCTCGTGTCTGAGTACTCTATAGTTGAGGTGCTGCTAAATACTTGAGACTTACATTTTGGGAACATGAACAGGCTTTGTCTGACTAGAATGAGCACAAGAGATCAGGGACATCTAGTTTGGATAGTAAGTGACGTGAGAGACCGGACGGGCTGATACTGGGACGACTTTACCTTTTCCTTTTGATTTACCTGTATATTGTTACTACATGACGTTAGTATACCTGTATGTACATGGTTATCTGTACAACTTGATATGTATTTGTGCATTTGCTTATCCGTCATCTTGGTATGGCGTGTTATGTGGGTATATGTTTATTGGAATATTTGGTGCCCACAATAGTTACTTTAGTAACCTTATCGTGTTGATTTACTAAATTACCTTTTGGGGGAAAAGAAAAGAGAGGGAAAACATATATATGGACGGGAGACGTAGCCATGGACGTGGACGTGGCCGTGGGAATGAACGAGCTCAAGAGCCAAGAGAGGAAAGAGAAACAACATCTGCACAAGAGCAAGGAACGAGGGTTGAAGCCGAAGACCCAATGGCAACGGTAATGCAACAAATGACAGATATCTTGGAAAGACTAGTAGATCAACAAGGCCAAATGACCGTGAATCAACCCCGGAACCCTGAAATCGGAGAAGATAAGGCTCTTGAGAGGTTTCAAAAGTTTACTCCTCCGAAATTTCTTGGAGGATTTGATCCGAATATAGCCGAACAATGGTTAGAGGCCATGATTAATATTTTCACCGTCTTGAACTACACCGAGCAAAGACAAGTAAACTTTGCAGTGTTCCAATTTGAAGGATCGGCCCGAGCGTGGTGGAACGTTATTAAAGCAAAATGGGAAAGAGAACAGACCGTATGGACATGGACGAATTTCATAAGGGAATTTAACGAGAAATACCTCCCTCCTTTAGTTCAAGAGAGGAGAGAGGAAGAGTTATTCGACTACGTCAGGGAACGTTAAGTGTGGCCGAATATGAAACAAAATTTACGAAACTATCCAAGTTTGCTTCTGAATTGGTGGTCACAGAGCGGCGAAGAGTAAGACGGTTTATACAGAGATTAAATTTGGAACTCCAAGAAGCATTAGCGGCAGTACAAGTGAATACGTTTACGGAGGCCCTTGAGAAAGCTCAAAGAATCGAGACTGCAAAGGCACAGATAAAAGCTTCCCAGACCCAGAAAAGGAGTGCACCGAGTAGTGTAGCGGAGGAATTAAGTGAAGTGAGAGTCCCTTCCAAAGTGCAAAAAGTAAACTTTTTGTCCCACCCACCATGGACATTAGGGGCGATAGGTGAAGGATCTACAAAAGAAAGCCAAATCATATTTGGGAAAAGTTTTCAAGAAAGCCAAAAGATGGCTTCTCACGTGGTCTGTGGGTACTGTGGAAAGGCAAATCATGTCGAAAGCGATTGTTGGAGAAAGGGGCGGAAATGTTTAATCTGCGGAAGTGGCGATCATCAAGTTAGCAACTGTCCGAGGAGACAGTCACGTGAAAGCAATACTCTGCAACTGGATGGAGCTAAATCACAAGTGAATGAAGGAGGGAAACGAACTAGCGGACCGGCAAAGGTTTATGCTTTAGACAACCGACAAGTTCCAGACACGTCTGAAGCAACTGAAGGTAAAATTTCGAGGACGAAATTTTTTTAAGGGGGAGAGAATGTGAGGACTCGCAAATTTCTTGTATTTTTCTCAAAAATACCCTTTTATTTGAAAATTATTATTTATCAAAGCCCACTACCCAATTATTTCACAATAAGTGTAAGTAAACCTAGAAAATAGGGTTTTACGCCTCGGTTTCAAGTTTGGAGCAAAATTAGGGTTTTCGCGATTTTTCGCCGGATGAATTTTCGGTACAGAGTAAGGATTAAATTTGAGGATTAAAAGTGACTTTTAAGTGAGAAATAATATGTGATTGGTAGCAATGATATAAGGTTAGTGAATGGGAAGTAAAAACCCTAGTACGTGAGTTTTTAAGAAAAACGGCGCGAACCGGCAGGTCCCGCGCACTACCGATTGAACGCACCATTTGACCACCATTTTTTCTCACCAAACAAATTTATTGAACTTGAGCAAAATATCTTCTCTCTTGGCAGCAAGCTTTACCGAAATTGTGGCTCATATGCAAGGGAAAGAAAGAGAAAAATTTTGTGGTCAAGATTAGGCCAAGTGTTGGTCAAAAATTGTGGTCACAATTAGCTCTAATCTTCTTGTCTTCCTATAAGATAACTAAGCTCCATCTTCCCTCATTTTTCTTGGTAAGTGCTGAGCTAAGGGAGAGAGAAAAGGAGAGCAAGATAAACAAAATTTCCTTCTTGATTTGCTTCAACCCAAGTAAGAAATTCAATTCTAAACCGATTAAAGTACTACGTGTGAGTTGGGAAGCTTGAAGAACCAAGAAATATCAAAGGGGGTGAAGGATCACTCTACCAAGCCTTGCTTTTGAGGTACCAACATTTGATCATGATCTTTGTTGCTTTGAATCTTGCTTTAAGATGTGTTTTAGCTTAAGTTTTGGCTTGATTTCATGATTATGCAAGTGGGTGTGATGAATTTGGAAGTTTTCCCCTTTTATATGATGAACTAGGGCTTGAGGAATTTCTGCCCAATTTGGTGTATGATGCTTGTATGTTGCAATTAAGGTTGTATAAGGTGTTTTGGTAGTGATTAGAACAAGAAAATTGAGAAAGTTCCATTGATTACAAAAAAATTCCAGAATCTGGAAATTTTTTCCAACATTCTGTCCGAATTTGAATCCCTATGTTAGAGGCCGAATTGGCCTTAGGTCAAAGAAGGAAAGTTGTAGAGAATGGTATTTTGTAGGTGCCTGTAAAATTTCAGCTCAATCAGAGCAACGTAGCTCATGAAAAGTCCAAAATACCCTTACTGTTTTAAGTATTTCCCAAGCAGTCCGTGTGATCAGTTAAGTCCAGTTTATCACGTTTTTCGACTAGGATCCATTCTGATTTAGCTTTTTGCCAAAACATTAAAGTTGTATTATTCTGAATTAGCTTTCAAATGCCTCTAAGAACACCTGATTCGGACTTGTGTACTCTGAGATATGTCCATTACAGTGTTCAGCGTTTAAACAGCCGACGAATTGGTTTCTGGTTTAGTAATTTGAGAATTTTACTAAGTTACATTAGGAACTGGACTAAGTGACCTTCATGAACATTGTAGCCCTGTGTCTTAGCTTCGAAACGGCATAAGTTTTGCCTCAATCTGATAAGCGTAGATTTGGATATGTTATTTCTGCATTCGTACGTCAAATCTGTCTTGTGCTAAGTTGAATTTCTGCACTTGTGATTGTTGTAATTCTTATTCTGATGATATTGTGAGCCTATGGAACGGCTCTTGACTTGAATTGCTTATGTGTGATGTTGGGTTGTGGTTGAGGGAAAATAATGAAGCCAAATTGGCTGGAAAATTAGGTAAACACAAAGGGCATGCTGCCCAAATTTTCGCTCGAGGGCTAGGTTTCTATTGGAACTTGTATACTTTTGTTTGGCCAATACCATGACCGATTTTCCATTTTAAAACATGATTTTTCATCTTGGGGTTCAAACAACCCTCTTCTTACTTGAAAGTCATCTTTACACGTTTTACTCCTAATTAGTCGGGTTTCTTTATTTCCCTTAAATGTTTTGCTCGATAAACTGTAATATATTCTCTTGTTCAACCTTAGGTTTCATTGGTGATTAAGGGTAATATCCGGAAGGATATTTTGCACGATATTTTGCATTTCTAGGTGAGTGTTCCTTATTTGATTCTATGGCTTGTTGTTATCATTTGCTAATGTGTTAAGTGCTTTTAATGATTTCCAAAACGAGCTTTCTAGGCGAGTGTGTACTTTATCGCACTCGACCTAAATAACTGTGCAATTTTCAAGGATTTAATGATTGAAATGTTACTTGAGCATGAATGTAAGCCTTTTGGGCTGAACTGGCCATTGCCCCTTGTTACCGGTCGTCTCGAGCCAGAAGCGGACTCGGTCGGGCGATTAGGGACTTGGGTAAACGTTTGGTATACTCGAGTATTACCCTGTTGGTTGGTGGAGACTGGCCAACGGCCAGGACGGGGGTGAATGAATGAATGAATGAACGAACGAATGAACGAGGGTTTATTGATAAACGAAAAATGCATTTTCAAATGATTGGAGGAATAAGGGGAAATGTCAGGAGAACGAATGAACGAAATAACGAATTGCTCCTTGTGAGCCGTATCCTTTTAATGAATGTGTTACTATCGCTTTCCATTGTAAATGTTTCTTGAATTATTGATACTCCATGTTTAATGTATTGGATTGATTATCTGATTATGTGTTCGGAACCTCACTGGGCTTTTAGCTCATTCCTTTAGTTTAGTTTTCCTTACAGGGGAAGGCGAGCGAGGACGTGAGCTTGAGATAGACTAGCCAATCTAGTTTTGTTTCTTTTGTTTCTTTTGTAGTGGTTCTCGCCTAGTGCTTGGCACGGGCTGGACGTATGAAGGATTGAGAACCCTTGTATATTTGATGTTTATATTCTCTTTTGGGTTGGCAATGTATATAAGTTCCGCTTTAAGTTTGGATCAATGCCCTATTTATTCTAGTGATTTATTTCAATTTTTAATTGAGGACTGGAGCGAACGACTGAGTCCCTGCGAGAGCTGGGCAGGCGGCCCGCCGAACCCTCTGGTACACCTTAGGGGGAGGTGGGGTCGTTACAGAAATGCACAAGGAAGAAAAACCATGACATGCACTTATTGTTTTAAAGTGTTTCATGGGGGTGGCATCCACCGAATGAAGCAACACTTGGCAGGAGTAACGGGCAGTGTTACTTCATGTCCAAATGTTGATCCAGCAGTGAGGCTTGCAATATTAACATGTTTGCAAGAGAATGATAGAAAATCTAAAGAAAAAAGAGGAGATTTTGGGGTCGAAAGTCCTTTTGGTCAACCAGTGCACGAATTTGTCGGTGATGAAGTGCAAGAGGTTCCACCTCCTCGAATAAGGGAAATTTCAATGAATGAGGCTGGTACATCATTAGGTAAAGGAAAGAGAAAAACCACTGCCCCTACAGGTATACGTGCTTTCTTTAAGGGTGGACGTGATAGTGCTTAACCTACTATCAAAGCTTGTTTGCAAAGTAAGGATAAATGGCAAAATACTGATATGGCCATTGCTCTTTGGTTCTATGATGCATGTATTCCCATTAATGCTGTTAATTCTCCATTTTTTTCAAAAAGCTATCGATCAAATTGCATCAATGGGTCATGGTTATAAAGCTCCATCTTATCATTCTTTGCGAGTCACTTTGTTGCCAGATGCTAAGAAAGATGTGCAGTTAGTTGTTGATTCATTTCAAAATACTTGGGCTGAAACTGGATGCACTATAATGGGTGATGGATGGAAAGATAGTAGACAAAGACCATTGATTAATTTTCTGGTTTATTGTCATAAGGGTATATCTTTTATCAAGTCTATAGATGCATCGGACATTGTGACAAATGCAGAAAATTTGTGCAATCTGTTTGTTGAAATTGTTGAAATGGTTGGTTCAAAAAATGTGGTGCATTTAGTCACTGATAATGCTAGCAATTATAAGGCTGCTGGAACTTTATTAAATGAAAGATATCCAACTATTTGCTGGTCTCCATGTGTTGCCCATTGTATCAATTTGATTTTGAAGGATATTGGTGAAATGGGTACTGTTAAATCTCTAGTGGCTCTTGCTGCTACAGTAACTGTTTTTGTGTATAATCATAAATATGTTCTAAATTGGCTGAGAAAAACTAATGGGTGGAGGGAGATTATTCGTTCGGGGGAGACTCGATTTGCCACCACTTTTATTGCACTAAAGAGCTTACATGATCACAAAGACAGCTTACAAGCTTTAGTCACTAGTGGAGATTACAAAAAGTTCTTGAAAATGAACAAAGGAAAAGAGGTCAAACAAATTGTTTTGGATGATAGATTTTGGAATAATTGTTTGATTACGGTGAGAATAATGGGTCCTATTATTCGGTTGTTGAGAGTTTGTGACACTGATGAAAGGCCTTCTTTGGGGTATGTGTATGAAGGTATGTTTAGAGCAATTACTGGAATCAAGAAGTTGTTCAGGAGTAGTGAAAGACTATATAAGCCTTACATTGATATCATCAATGACCGATGGGATAGGATGTTGAGGAAAAATTTGCATGCTATAGCATATTTTTTAAATCCCGCTTATCAATATGACACTGCCACATTCTCTACACATCCAGAAATTACAAATGGTTTGTTGGATTACATAGAATCAAAGGTGGATTGGTGTAGTGTGGAAAATTTAACAAGAGAAATTGGAATGTATCGAGAACGGGAGGGAAGTTTTGGCAGAAAACTTGCTATTCTTACTAGCAAGAAAGATAGACCAGGTAATTTATATTTTTCTAGCATTTGAATCTCTCTAATATATATATATATATATATATATATATATATATCTAATTTATAAATATTTTGTTTATATTTAAATTTTGAATATGACAGAGAATTGGTGGAAGCTCTTTGGTTGTGATGCTCCCAACTTACAAAAACTTGCAATTCGGGTTTTGAGTCAAACAGTTTCTTCTTCAGGATATGAGCGTAATTGGAGTGTTTTTGAACGTATTCATACTAAGAAAAGGAATAGGTTGGAGCATCAAAGGCTCAATGATCTTGTATATGTGCATTACAATTTGCGTTTGCAGTATAGGTATATGTAAATGGTTTATTTTTATAAATGACATTTCATTCTTTTTAAGAAAATATTTTAGTACTAACTAAGTGTATATGTTGTGTGTATATATATATATTGTAGGCATAATCAGCAAAAGAGATCGTATGATCCCGTTGATTATGAGTCAATTGATAAAACAGAATTTTGGGTGGTTGAAGAAGAACAAGAAGGGGAGCTTGATTATGAGGAGTTAGAGGAAGAGCTTGAAGAACTTCCAATTCATGGTCAATGTTCAAATTCTGAACAACTTGAAGGTTAGTTTGACATAAATCATTAGTTTGATGCAAAAATAAAGCTAGTATGATATGATATTCAATTGTTGAATATGTATATAATTAAATATGTTGATTTTTTAGATAATGAAGAGGAAGCAGAAGATGTTGATTTAGAAACATTTCAGCGTCGAAACTTTTTTAATGATGAAGATGATGATTGGCATTAAATGTTCAAATGGTAATTGGTATAGAATTATTTGTACTCTTTTATTTTTATTTTTAAGATTTGTATCAGTTGGTGTGATGAAACTAATATGATTTTATACTTTTATCACTTGTCAGTGATTCATATAATGGTCTTGGATGATGATGATGACTTGTCAAGATGGCTTTTTTTGAAGCTTTGTTGTTCCAGAATTATGAAGAAGATTATAGAAGCTTCAGAAATTGGACTCGTTTGGACCTTTTGATTGTTTTCTAGACTTGTATTGTTTTTTGTTAATTTTAATATTTAGACAATTGGACATGTAAGTTTCATAACTATGTTAATTGTGTGTGTTAATTGTTGGATATTGCTCTTATATTTATTGTGGTTCAGCATTTATATCTTATTCTATGCATAGGTGTGTGTGTCTATATATATATATATATATATATATATATATATATATATTTATTTATTTATTTATTTATTGAACCCCGGTTGAACCAGTCCGACCGGTTGAATCTCGACCCTTTCACCTCACCGGTTCGATTAACGGTTCGGGTTTGAAAACATTGGTCTAGACATCCGCAGGAAGAAAACCACAATAAGACAAAAAAGGAAAAGTCAAAAGCTAAAACTAAAGGTGGTGCTTGTTTTCTGCTATCCTATTTCCTTTCTAATCACTATTGCCCCGTGCGGCGTCCGCGGGCAGAGGAAGAAGAATACTCCAGCCCTTTTTTTTCAATGCTGTCTTTCGCAAATTACCGAAAAGGGGTCGCGTCTTGATATTCCAAAAATGCCCTTAGACGCCTGCTACTTGAACTCTTTCCTGATGACTGTCAAATTGGCACTTGTTATGATATTTTCGTTCTACTTTCTGTAATAAATGTAAATTTTCAAAAGTGAGTAGAATCTAACAATTAATCTACGTCAGGTCAGGTAATAGGAAAAATTAATAATAAAATAAATAATGAAATCGCAACCTATCAGTATGATACTTAAAAAAGAATTTTACAACAAGTTGGATATGCATCATGTCACATTTATCCAGTTCTCTATCCAAGAGTAGTTTTATAAGCTCTCGGTACGACTAAAGGTACATGTGATATTGCTTAATTATTCATAAATGACATATTCTCCTACCTGTCACCAGTAATAATGAATTTTTATTTGAAGTTTGTTAATCAACAAAGAAAAATATTGAATATCTTCAAGATATATATTGTTTAAGGTATTTATCTTCAATAAATTATTCCATCTTTAATGACTCATACCCTTTACAAGAATTATATAATGGTAACATGGCTATCTAATACAGATATTTGTCCCCTCTGCCTTGAGAAAAGCCAAATAAGTAGTCAATGTGTTCCCACCTAATGGTCCTAATCAACACTGGGAAAACAAATAAGCGGGACGAAATAATTGTTGGCTTTAGTTATCAGCACATCCTTTGATGATAAGCAAATAAAGCCACAAATGCTCAACTACACATGTTCCTCATCTAATGGAACCTCTAATAGTTGACAGACTCACTTCTATGCAGATGCAAATATTTTATAAATGATGCATATGATTAAAATTTTCGAAAGTTCATCAGTCTCTCACCCGGTGATTAAATCTATCTGACAAATGTTAGTGAGCTCATTAAATGCATCAATAATACTCCCTCCATCCCATTTTAAATGTTTTATTATCCTTTTCATCCGTTCCAAATTATAGTTCACTTTCCAATTGAAAACTATAGTTAATTTTTAACTTTTCTAAAATATTTATTATTTAATGTACTTTTTTATCAATTAATGTTACTTATCTTATTCAATAATTACTTTGATTCATGCCTTAAATAGTATAACTTTTCCATGAAAATTGTTGTTTTAATTAATGTAAAAATATAGTGATTGATCATACAATTAATATTAATGAAAGGATATTTTAGGAAAACAGTAGATTAAATTTACTTTTCCAACAAAGTCAACTAATTTTTCTTAAAGTGAGTAAAAAAAATCAAGACTATCAAAGTGAGATAGAGAGAGTAGTAATTAAAGTAGTTAATGAGAACTTACGAAGGGGGAAAAAGGAAGAAAAACAAAGAGTAGTTAGTGAGTCACTGGAAAACAACAGAAGACATTAACTAATAAAGACTTGAAATACCAAACTTCAATGTAGAGGAAAAAAAACAAAAAGAAAGAGGGGATCTCATCCGGTTAAGTGTCATGCATATCATGCAGGATATTTAACTGCAATGCAAATGCAAACTAAAATAGTTTTTGTGGTTTAGGGCAAATACTGGACACAAGTTTGACCATGCACCCTTTCAAGTGTTTTTTATGCTCTCACTACGATTGTAGGTATATATGATATTGCTCAATTATCCATTAAATGGCAAATTCTGTGACCCACAACAAGTGGCAATGAAGAAAAATATTCGATATAATGGAAATAAAGATACCTAATACTTCAAGCAATCCTCTGCCTTCAGAGAAAAGCCAAATGTAGTAGCCGATTGCTTCCTGCTTCTCCAAATACAGATGCAAATATTTCTAACAAAATGGATATGATTAAAATTTTCTAAAGGTCATTACCCTGTTGATCAAATTATGATTAAGCCCTTGCAGAAAAAAGTTAGTGAGGCTGTTTCCTGAAAAATTAGAACCCCCACAAACAAATTTCATTTATATGGATCGTATTCATTAAAATAGTCAATGATTACCTGGAAATCGACAAAGACAGTCAATTATAAAGGCTTCAAAGTTTAACGTGGGAGACAAATTTATTCGTTTGAGCATCATTATGATTAGAGATAAAAGTAATATTTATGTACTTGTTCTGTGAAATGACAGATATTGGTTGTTTCTTTTCTTTGATTAGAGATCCTTCTTTTTCGTGGTCATTATAAAAACAAATTTAGGCTTGTTTCTTTTCTATGATTGCTACTCACCAGCTACCTAGGTAACTCAAACATTTGTTTCTAAGTGTTTATTTCCAATGATTGATTGTTATCACTCTTGGAAATGGGATTATTCTTTTTTTTTTTTAACTAGTTCCTTTTCATTGATTTTGTGTTCCTCAGAAATAAGCAGTGCAAACAGGACACTTTGCTTCTGTTTAACTTTACATATTGTATTTCAAAAAGATAAAGCAAATCTGACGGTGAGTGTGAACCCATACACAATATAAACCCATTTACTTTTGTATTAGATAAGACATGTGTTAGTATTTACATTTGTTAATTTAATATCTATATTTGTTATGTTACTATTTACTTTACACGGTACAATTATTGTAATTTTAGAAGTTCTTGTTGCCGATTTCAACCCATAACATTTTTGCAAGTCATGGTCAAAGTTGTTTGACCAAAAACTCGAGTTCTATTTGGATTCCTCAGTTTTTTAAAAATAATTTTTTCATATACAATGTTACAGTAATACACAAATAAAAACAACTCCAAAAATACCATATCCATATAATATATTAAAAATAACTCGAAATATACAAAAAAAAAAAATCACTACCCGTCACTTTGCACCACTATGGTCTCAACCTTATCGCCACCACCCTCACACCGTCCCTCTCTCTCTCTCTCTCTCTCCCTCCGCCCATCTTTTCTCCCTCTCTCCTCCTCCTTCTCCTTTTTTCCTCCTCCTCTCTCTCCTTCTCCTTCCTCCTTTCTTCTTTCCCTTTCCCTGACCCCCAATTTCCTTCCCCTCTACTGACCACAACCTTTCTAATCACGATCAAATCTAATCATGATCAGAAGCCGCGACCAAAACGGTCGTGGTTAGAGTGGTGGCTAAAGTCGCAGCCACCACCTGTGATCGGGAGAGGGGTTTGGGGTTGGGGGGAAGGAGGGGGAGAGAGGAGAAGTGAGAGGAAAGAGGGAGGAGGAGTAGGGGCAGGAAATAGACGGGAGGAGGAGAGGAAGAGAAAGGAGAGAGGGGGAGGAAAAGGGAGGGGGTGGTGGTGGTGGGTCATGTAAAATTTTATAAAAAAATTTCAAAAAAATTGTAAATTATAAAAATACTCAAAAATATATTTTAAAAATACCTCTTAAAACAATCCAAAAAATATCTACAGTAAAAGTTTTTCATATACATAACTACAGTAAAGTTTTTAAAAAACACTCCAAAAAATAGTTAATCCAAACAGAGCCAAACCTTGCCAATGACTGTCTAAGATAATTATTGGTCTATGAACCCGGTTAACTGGTGTTTTGAAATTCAGATTAGACCGTAAATTCGTGAATCTTAGGGATTAGGAGTCAATGGGTTCAACCTATTGTGTCAGAGTAAAAAAAAAAAACCAAATAATGTAATCATAATGTCATCAATATAATTTAATTATATATGAAATAAAATATATTTAAAAAAATCCCTTAGCTTGGCAAATGTGTAACTAACACAAAGGATTTATATAGCCAAAAACAAGGAGACTGTAAACGTGACTTGGAAATGTTTATGGATGGATTTACAATTTGTTGAAACAATGAAGTGTTAAAATATGGATACGAAAAAATCATAGGACACTAAGAGTAAACTAAATCAGTAACACGTAATCCCTTTCTAATCTATCTTCTTCGCTTACCATCATATTGTTTTCTATCTCACTGTTCTTTCATCAGAGATCAAAGCAGCACTCGCACCCACAACCACACACACACAAATATACGTACACACACAAACGTACACTCCTCGTCTCATATCCTCTACTCTATTCCTTCCCTACCCCCCCTCCCCCACCAACACACCAATTGGATATCAAAGCTTTTAAGAGTCTAAGCAACTATGAGGGTGGCTAGTTAGAGTTAGGTTTGGAAATATGGAAGGTGACTATGGTGGCGGAGGAATGAAAGATGAAAGGTGACTAGTAGTCCTTAGGGACCGACTTAGGGTATAAACATCCCTACCATGGAACTTCAATTCAATCCTTTTGCTTCAAACTTCCTTAATCTGTTCCTTCTCTTCTCCTTCCTTGTTTTGATAGTTAAGATATGGAAGAAAAGAAACACACCTATTATGAATTTGCCACCAGGTCCACGCAAGTTGCCGATCATAGGTAACATGCACAACTTGTTTGGTGGACTTCCGCATGTAGTTCTTAGGGATTTGGCTAGAGTATATGGTCCAATGATGCACCTTTGGGTAGGGGAAGTTTCCACAGTTGTAATATCATCGGCGGAGATGGCGAAGGAGGTTTTAGTAACTCATGATCCTACATTTGCTAACAGGCCGGATCGTCTTGCTGTCAAAATCATGTGGTATGACCAACAAGATATGATCTTTATTCCATATGGAGACAAATGGAGGCAAATGCGAAAAATATGCACAACGGAGCTACTAAGTGGCAAGCATGTTCGATCATTCAGTTATATTAGGAAGGATGAAATCTCAAAGCTGATCGAATCAATTCGTTCCTCTCAAGGGGCAGCCATAAATGTTGGAGAGATATTCTTCATGTATACGAGTTTGATGACTTGCAGAGCAGCCTTTGGTAGAATATGCAAGGAATACGAAACAATGATTGCATACGTCAAGGAGGGGATAGCTTTAGCAGCAGGCTTTGATGCAGCTGATATGTTTCCATCCCTGAAAGTACTTCCTCTTATCAGCGGGTTAAGGCGTAAATTGCTCAAGATGCACTATAAGATAGATTCGATTCTTGATGATGTGATCAGTCAACATAAACTGAACCATAAAAGTGGAAAGAAGAGCAACGCCGAGACCGGTGAAGAAGATTTGATTGATGTTCTATTGAGAGAGCAGGAAAGTGGCAACCCTCAGATGCCAATCACAAGCAAGGATATAAAAGCTGTGGTTTTTGTATGATGCAAATTAACCAGATTACCTTCATGTTCTCTTTTCTTGTTAGTTTTGATGTGATACTAAAAAACTCGTTCCATTTTATTCATACAGGACATTTTCACTGGTGGAACAGATACTGCATCTGTAACAAGTGAATGGGCAATGGCAGAATTGATGAAGCATTCGAGAGTGATGGCAAAGGCACAGGCAGAAGTAAGGCAAGTCTTTAAGGGTAAGAAGCTAATTGAAGAGGATGATGTCCAGAAACTAGTGTACCTGAAGATGGTAGTCAAAGAAACATTAAGGCTCCACCCACCTATTCCTTTGATTCCAAGAGCAAGCAGGGAAAACCGTCAGGTAAAAGGGTGTATGATACCAAACAAATCCCAGATTATGGTGAATGCCTGGGCTATAGGGAGAGATCCTGAATATTGGGATGATCCAGAAATATTTTTACCAGAGAGATTCGAGCAAAATTCGATTGATTACACGGGGACACATTGCCAATATCTTCCATTTGGTACAGGAAGGAGGATGTGCCCCGGCACAGCTTTCGGTATAGTCAATGTCGAGCTTCCCTTAGCTCATTTACTCTATCACTTTGACTGGAGACTTCCCGACCGAATGAACGTCATTGATCTTGACATGGATGAAGCTGCTGGAATAAATATAAAAAGGAAAAATAACCTTAACTTGGTTGCTACTGCATACTATCCTTCCAGGCGCAGTGAGGTGTGTGAGATGAGACAACATAATGATCTGCATATGATCGATCCGTCTGTTGCCTAATAAGTTTGTGTAGAAAATCTTCCTAGGTCTGAGTATGTCCATTTCCTAAGTTATATGCCTATTCTCCACAATCTGATTTCAAGTTTGAAACTTGATGTTGACTAGTTTGGGTTACTCAGTTACAAGTGCAATGTGTTTCTGTTTATGGTTATTCTCTTTTCTCCACAATATGATTATTCCTTGTTTAATGACTCTATACACTTTACAAGAATTATAAAACGAAAACATGACAATTATGTAATGGAAACATGGTTATCTAAGATTAACTATTTATCATCTCCCTCTAGAAAAGTCGAATACTGTAGTCAATCTGTTCCCACCAAATCAAAACTGGGAAAACAAATAAGCCGGACTAATAGTGTGTTCGGATAGGAATTTTTTTGAAATAATTATTGTAGTACTTTTTACTATGTGATGTATGTAACATAAAATAGTGATGGAGAAGATAAAAAGGTGTATTAGAATACGGTAGTCAATCTATTCCCAGCAAATCAAAACTGGGAAAACAAATAAGCTGGACAAATAGTATGTTCATATAGGAGTTTATTTGAAATAATGACTATAGTGTTTATTGTAATGTGATATATCTTTACTATACTAAAAGCTAGAGTTGGGATTGCTACAATGAAAATGGACCGATTATCTGGTAATTATGGACAACTTCAGTGACTTTTGCATTTGTGCTTCACTTGTGTGCTTGGTCAACTTTGATGGCTTTGTATTTGTACTTCAGACGTGTATTTGTATCGGTTATCCAGTAATTATGGACAACTTTAGTGGCTTTTGCATTTGTGCTTCAGTTATGTGCTTGGTCAATTTTGGTAGCTTTGTATTTGTGCTTCAGACGTGTGTTTGTATCAGTTATCCAGTAATACATCACACATGTCACTTGCTCATACCACCAACACCTATACTGCTACTTGCATGATACACATAGTTTATGGACTACGTGTAATCTTTTCTTTTTGTGCTTCAGACGTGTGTTTGTATTGGTTATCCAGTAATACATCACACATGTCACTTGCTCATGTCACCGACACCTATACTGCTACTTGCATGATACACATAGTTTATGGACTACGTGTAATCTTTTCTTCCCACAGCACACTATTCTATCATTTGCTTTTTCTTGCGGCACACTCGTGCATCCACTAGCCTTCCTATTATATCTATGTATATATGAATATATATATATATATATATTTAGCAACATACTAGAAGACTACCATCCTATACAAAGCCTTCTCTGGATCCTTCAGCTCACGCCAGCGTTCTCTATTAGCTGCAAGAGTAAGTCCTTTATTGTTGTTCCCTTGCACTCTTACTTAAGTCCAACTCTCGCTTTTAGTATAGTAAAGATAAAGATTCAGTGATACCGCCGTGTTGGAAACTTTTTAAAATTTGTATGATGTACATACATGTAATTAATGTATATTCATTAATTTTTGGTACATGTATAGTATTATAAATGTTTCTAAAATGTACATTCATTTATGAATGTATTCATGTATATGGAAATTATTGAATGAAAGGATAGATTCATGTTTTGATCTAATGATCATGAGATGCATGAATTAAAGTGCATGAATGTGTACACAATACTTTGAATCTATTCATACACAATACTTTGAATCTATTCATACAAGTGTTTAATGAGGTCTTTTGTTTCCCAAACAATCTTCCTATATAAAGAGATCAAGTAGATAGTGGTTTGTTGCAGAAAATCACTTTCCTACTATCCTTACTCTCTCAAAAAGCACTCCTTAGTTCACAAAGGGTTTGTCTTGCTTTGTGCAAAAGTTTAAGACAAACAAAACTTCATCTTATCCTAAAGGATGTTTGTTCAAGGTTATTGCACGTTATACCGGACAAATAAAGCCTAAAGGAAAGTGATATCTATCACGATTTGAAGCCAATTCTTGTTACAATATTTGCTAGTCCTTTACAATTTACCCAACAATCTTTAGGCTTTATTTATATTCTACAATGGCTGGTACCTTGAAAGATTTGGCATCCAATATTGTCAAGCTCGAGAGGTTTGATGGAGGGAATTTCGTTCGTTGGGAAAAACGTGTTCGTTTCCTTCTCACTGCACTCAAAGTGGTCTATGTTTTGACCACACCAAAACCATTGATCAATCTCGATGAAGAAACTCTTGAAGACATCCGAAACCGTCAGCAATGGGAGAACGACGATGAAATATGCTGTGGTCACATCCTCAATACCATGAGTGACAACTTGTTCGATGTTTACCATTCAATTACTACCGCCAAGGAACTTTGGGATCGATTGGAGTCCAAGTACATGCAAGAAGATGCTACAAGTAAGAAGTTTCTTGTCTAGTCTTTTAATAATTATAAAATGGTAGTAATAAGTCTGTTATGGAGCAATTTAGTGAGATTGAAAGGCTTCTTAATCACTTCACACAACACAATCTACACATGGATGAAGCCATTATTGTTTGCTCTATAATAGATAAGTTACCACTTTCTTGGAAAGATTTCAAAAGAAACCTGAAACATAAGAAATGGGGATATCTCTCTTGAGATTCTTGCTAAATCTGTTCGAGTAGAAGAGGAAATTCGCATACAAGAAAAGAAGGATAGTCAAATCCTTGAAGAGAACAAAGATTCTACTTCAAAAGTGCATGTGATTGAAGAGAGACAAACTGAAAAGTCTCAAGGAAGCAAGAAGGGCCAACAACCCAAGAATCAATCCAAGAAAAGAAGGAAGGGACAATGCTTCTATTGTAAGAAAGAGGGACACTACAAGTCCGAGTGCAAGATTCTTCAAAACAAGAAGAAGAAGCAAGAGTCTTCCCAAACCACAAGCAAAAATCTTGTAGCAATGATATCTGAAATCAATATGATTGAAGATGATTTTGCTTGGTGGGTTGATTCTGGAGCTACGCGACACGTGTGCAACAATAGAACGTTCTTCAAGTCCATGAAACCGGTGGATGAAAGCACCGTTGTTTACATGGGAAATTCTGCTACAATTCCGGTTCAAGGCATTGGAGAAGTAGAATTAAAATTTACTTCCGAAAATGTTGTAATCTTGACAAATGTGTTTTATGTACCGGAAGTTAGGAAAAACTTGGTGTCGGCTGGGCTGTTAAATAAATTTGGCTTTAGACTTGTGTTTGAGTCTGACAAATTTATTTTGTCTAAAGGTGGTATGTTTGTAGGCAAGGATTATCTTTGCAATGGGATGTTTAAGTTAAATGTACTTGGTATTAGAAATAATAAGAGTGATATTATTTCTGCATACTTGGTTGAGCCTTCTTTTGAATTGTAGCATAATAGGATTGGTCATGTTAATTACAAAAGAATGCATAAAATGATGAGACTTGATTTGCTGTCATATTGTGATAAGATTGAAGGAAAATGCAAAACATGCATGCTAACAAAAATCACAAGAAATTCGTTTCCTAAAGTTGAAAGATCATCTAAAATCTTGGATCTTATTCATAGTGATGTATGTGATTTGCATGGTACTCCTACTTTGGATGGTAAAAAGTACTTTGTGACTTTTATTGATGATTATAGTAGATACTGTCATGTTTTCTTGTTACATTCAAAAGGTGAAACTTTGCAAAAATTTAAGGCATACAAATCAGAAGTTGAACTTCATTGTGAATCCTTTATCAAATGTCTAAGGACAGATAGAGGTGGGGAATATTATGATATTACCTATTTTGAGTCTGTTGGAATAAAACATGAGGTGACTGCTACTTACACACCACAACAAAATGGTGTAGCCGAAAGGAAAAATCGTGTATTGATAGAAATGGTTAATGCACTTTTGTCAAAATCTAGTTTAAGTCAAGGATTTTGGGGTGAAGCCTTGTTAATGGCTTGTCATATCCTAAATAGAGTTCCTAATAAAAGGAGTTCTATAACCCCTTATGAATTTTGGAATAAAAGAAAGCCCAACCTAAACTATTTGAAAGTTTGGGGTTATATAACTGTTGTAAAACTCCCAGAACCTCAAAAAAGGAAATTGGGAGAAAGAGGTGTGGAGTGTATATTCTTAGGATATGCACAAAATAGCAAAGCACATAGGTTCATGGTAATTGAACCTAATGATTCAATTTCAGTTAATACCATAATTGAGTCTAGAGATGCTATTTTTGAAGAGAATAGGTTCACTTCTATAAAAGATGTTATTCCAAAATCAAGTGAATTGACAAAAGATGGTGAAAATGAAACCATTGAATTGAGAAGGAGCAAAAGAGCTAGAAAGTCAAAAGATTTCGGTTCGGACTTTTACATGTATCTAGTTGAAGGAACTAGAGATACAGTGAGCAACCAAATCTCATATTGCTTCAATATTGAGGCTGATCCCAAGACCTATGAAGAAGCAATGAACTCACAAGATACTCCCTTTTGGAAGGAAGCTATTAATGATGAGATGGACTCAATCATGGGTAATAAAACTTGGAAATTAGTAGACTTACCACCTGGTTCAAAACCAATTGGTTGTAAGTGGATCTTCAAGAAGAAAATGAAGATCGACGGAACTATTGATAAGTTCAAGGCCAGGTTGGTTGCCAAAGGGTTCACACAAAAGATTGGTGTGGACTATTTTGACACATATTCACCAGTAGCTAGAATTGCTACAATTAGAGTGCTACTTGCTATAGCTTCTATCCAAAATCTAGTCATTCACCAAATGGATGTTAAAACAGCATTCTTGAATGGTGATTTGGATGAAGAAGTATATATGGAGCAACCCGAAGGGTTTGTGATGCCTTGTCAAGAGCATAAGGTGTGTAAACTTGTAAAATCTTTATATGGACTAAAACAAGCACCGAAGCAATGGCATCAGAAATTTGACCAAGTTATTCTTGCTAGTGGATTCAAAATAAATGAATCTGATAAATGTATTTATAGCAAGTTTGATGATGGCAAAGGTGTCATAATTTGTTTGTATGTTGATGACGTGTTGATTTTTGGGACTGACTTGGAACAAGTTAAAGTCACAAAAACTTTGCTTTCAAGCAAATTTGACATGAAAGACATGGGTGAGGCAGATGTCATTCTTGGTATGAGAATCTTTAAACATGATAATAATATAATGTTGTCTCAAACACATTATATTC